TTACCTACTATCTAGAGACAAAGGTCTCTAGGATGGTAGCTGCCTTTCTGGCTTGTACAGCATCAGTCAGCTTGCTGGGATTGAAAATTGGCTCATTTGTAAAGGTGCTAGCTTCAATAACCTGACTTGCCAGTGACATCCGTTGAGTCACTACCAGTAAGTCCCTAGTCTCCCTTTGTGGGACTCACATTTCTTGTCTTCTTACCTTGGAGGAATTCCACACACTGCAGTGGCTTAGGGTAGGAGTGTCATCTGGCCCCCTGGCTGGAAGAATAGCACAGCACTGATCTATGGGCCAAATCCCCTCCCCTCTCCCCCAGCATACTGGATTGGGTACCCGCTCCATCTGGTCTGGGACCCATATGGCATCTGGGGCTGCATGCATCACAGATCCCAGATCTACCAGGGTGAACACCATGTGCAGTGTGCATCCTGGAGCGGGCACCTCATGTAGTGCAGTCTGGCCAGGGTGGGCACTGCGTGGGGCACGATGCCCACCCCGGCTGGTCTGGGATTCATGCCAGAAGTACCCGATGATTATACAGCACAGTCTGAGAATGGCTGAGGTGGATACCACATTTGGTGCTCATGGGGCTGGTCCAGCATGCACTATGCCCCCTGTGGGTCTGCTCAGATGCAGGGGTAGCACTGGGACCAGAGGAGAGCCCACATGGCTGGATCTGGTCTGCAGCCCATATTTTCAACAGCTCTGGTCTAGGGGGATTAAAATGATGTGTCCCAAGTCATATAGACTGGAGGCTGCAACATTAATTCAGGTCAAATAGCTAGTTGCTCTGCAAGGAGCCCTGTTGAGTAGGATCTGGTTCAATGCAAGCAAATTTAGCAACAGAGCTGGGAACAGAACACTAGTCTGGAGCCCTTCTACCCCTTAGCTGCTCTATTACAGTGTTTCAGGCAGGGTGGCACCTTCAAGAACAGTTAGTCTGACCCTCCTCTAGCACCAAAGACCTGCCCTACTTTCTGCCTGACTTCAGACAAACACAGCTAACTGCCTCCATTTCTGAACGAAGGGTTTCAGCTGTTCAAAACACTGTCATGTTGAATTTTAACTTTAAAATGTTCCATGTTCTGTTTTCAGGTTCAGTTAAACATGTATGATAAAAAAAAAAAGAGTATAAATATTTGACATACAAAGGGAAATTGAGGGGGTTACCATTTTGATGAAAAAACAAAACAATGCCTCCCCCCCACCCACCCCAAAACAACAACAACAACAACCACCACCACCACTTAGGTGGGCCCAAAAATCATCTGGGAAAAAAATTACTTTTTTTTTTTCTTTTAACTATAGCTGAACAAAAATCCATTATTACTACAGGTCATTTGCTGACTGTAATGCACTGGCAGGTTACAAGCAGTAAATATTGTCATGTATAAGCCAACCATGCAGACCTAAAGAAATAGGCAATATGAATAAATGTTTGTTGTAGCAACACAGCTGACATTTGTGCAGGGAAGAGTCACCTGCATTAAGCCATGAAAAACCAAGAGGAACACTCTTAAAGAAGGAGAAGATGCGGATCACATTCCCTCCACTTGGCATGAGGATAAAAATATCCAGCAGTTATGTGGAACTCTAAATTAAACCTCTTAAATATGCATTCAATTCAGATTTCCTGAAGTCAGTTAACCAACTATCCGCAGACAATTAGAAAACTTTATTAGACTTTATCAAGCTACGAAAGGAGAAAATATTGCTTAACTATTATTCAACAAATGTAATTAGTTATCAGTTGGTATTTGCTTAACTAGCTTGTCTAGTTGTAGCTACAGAAGCACACATAAAACTGCCATCTGGTTTATGTTGCACTAGAGACACACCATGTTTTGTTTTGTTTTGTTTTGTTTTGTTTTGTTTCAGCTGTTGTCATTGCCTCACTGCATGATACATCCTAAACAAAATTTGGAGACTACTGCCTATGCTTGCTGCTATCCAGGTTTTTCACTTACCCTCATACTTCTGTGGAGAATCTGGTCTGAGCAAACCAAAAGGCAATGACTTTAGTAAAAGCTATGGTTTGCTTGTTTCCCTTCATTACTTGTTATAATGCATGATGTAACTGATTTACCTGAAGCCAGACCCTGTTACCTTTACTCATACTGAGCCCTACCTTTCTGCACCCACAGTCCTTCTGCCTTTGATGTAGTTTAGCTTTAAGGGTGCAGTTAGGGCTTGTGTTTTTGCTTAACAAGGGAAAGGATAAAATGCCCACAAAATATGATGTAAATAAGCTTAGGAGGGTTGCAGAGGTGACAGGCAGTGCTTATGCAGTTACTATAAGAACACTATGATTTGCAGTGAACTCCCACAATGCAACAGCTATGCTGTTACTCAATGGACAGAAGAGAGCTCTCTTTCCACCAGATTTCATAGTAAAGAGTACTTAGGCTTCACTCTGAAAAAATATTCTAAATGATGAATAGTCTCTTGAAGTCTTAAATCAGGCAGCCTGCGTGTGTGGATGGTCATAATTACATTCTAATGGCAAAAATATATTCCAGACGTTTTCACTCCTGCTCTAGTACAGGCCCAACATAGCTGCATTGGGGTAAGGCATGGGCACCCAAGAGATTGTCTTGGCTAGAAATAAGTGCCTTTCTCTGGCCCAAAAGAAACCTTCTCCCCTGTGAGACTCTCAGCAATACCCCTTTTTTTTGGAGTTAAGTACCTCAACCTGGTTTGCACCTCTGTGAAAAACAAAGCTAGTCCCAACTAGCAACAGCCAAGTGACTGGTGTACCCCTCCCCCTTAAGGGATGGAAGAGACTTGGATTCAAACCCTCCCTGCCCACTTTGGGGCACGCTTGTAAGGCTACAGCCCAGGTGAGCACGTTCACCTGCAGTCTGCTAGGGATTCTGGGCCTGTCTCCATCTTGCCTCTAGGGAATGTTTTGTTTTGTAGAAGTAAGTGTTCAATGGGCCAGAGAGTGAGGAGAATTACACTGACACTGAAGCCTGATCACCTGGGATGTTCAAGACTGATTCAAGCCTCAGCTCCCACAAACATGCAATCATTTTTAAAAAGTATAATAGCTTCAACAGGAGAGATTGGGAAAAACCCATCACAGGATACCCAAAGCCCAGAGCATTCACCTGGAAGAAGCAGGTTCAAAGCCTTCTAGCAAATCAGGCAGAGGCCAGACTTGAACCTATGTCCCCCACACTACAGACAAGTCATTTGAGATATGCACCTCCCTGGCAGTTTTGTGTGGGCTACATTGATTTTAAGCATGCTTTGAGCATGCAATGGGATTATGCCCCATTGACAGATAGGGTGGGGAGCATCTAGCTGGAAATTCCACTTTGACCTGAGCAGTTCATTAAGTGTGGGCTAGCATTAGTGCAGGCCCGAGACAGAAACTGGGGGAGGTTTATACTGCTTAGTGATAGCACCCTGTGCTGCTACATATATACCTATACCACTTTCCAAACCAGAAGTCACGTAGTTGCTTTAGTACAGGGCTGTGCACACTCTACTGAGAGGTAGAATCAGATAATGCATTGATGCAAATAGACAAAGGCAGCTACGCTGTTGCCAGTTTGGAAAGCAGCACACCCAGGGCAGTATACCAAGGCCTGTACCATAACAGAGAAGTACACACACACCCCCTTAGGTACTTATGGGACTGTGGTTCCTCTAGGTAATCATCTAAGCAGTGTTTTTGAAGATGTCAGGATGCCTAAACTAATAGATGCAGATCTGACAGAGTATTTAGGGGTCCAAGGCCAACCACTGAGATACAGATATAAAACTTAAGAAATCCCTTTCCAACCAATCTCAGTTTTACAGAGAAAAACCAAATGGAAGAGTTTTGAGTAATGAGTTTATCAGCTGGCTCCCAAGTAAATTTTCTGTGAGGGCCTGTGGGTCAACAGCACTTTGTGTTCATTTCTGCTAATATGTAACCTTCATTCTTTTATTGCCATGCCAGGGGATTTCTCCGGTTAACTGCATTGGCTTTTGCAGGAATACCTAAGCTGTTACAAATGTGGCAAAGGGAAGGGAATCTCAGCAGAGGTCTGCTTAGGGGAGGAAAACGGAGAGATAAAAGGAATGTACCTATGTTTGGGATAAGGAACCCATATAAATGTAGCACGGAATACTGGGTATTGTTTTGTTATCCGTCAGGTTATTTTATAACAGGGAGACAGATGATTCACTTAAATGGGCTGCAGAGCAAGCAAGTCAGGTGTTGCTGAATGAGCCTGAGGTCGAATCAGCCCTTCCATGGGAACAGAGTAATAAATCTATCCTCTTGCAAATTAATAGTGCTTTCCAAACTTGTGCTTTTCAGAGACACTCTTTGGAAGTCCCCTATTAGTCCCTACATGGCATATAGGGTCTGACTCTCAACCTGATGGTAAGCAAAGAGCTTGCAGTGAGCAATGGCAACACTAGTTTGGCAAGTTTGCACTTGTTTACAGGTGCATATTATTGTTCTGATAACGACGTGGCTTAGTTTCGGTTAGTTTTATAAATTTTTAAAAATGAAGCTTATTTTCCATCAAGGAAGTGGTACAACACCCTGCCAGCTCACATACCAAACGCACCAATTATCCACCTGCTTAAGCAGTGTTGGGGTTTCAAGAGATACAACAATTCAGTGGTCACAAATAAAAGTGCTTTGAGATTTAACATATAAGATTACTGCATACTAATGAAAAAACAAAACAAACAAACTGTTCTTCTTAAGTATCTCCTCGGTGTTCCTTTGAAAGATCAAGAACAGGAATAGGTTTTCCATCTAAAGTGTTTTTCCACAGAAAATTTGGCTTTAAATTAAACAACTGCATGTGAGCGTGTGTAAAAAGTGCCTGCTTTCCATAGAGAATTTTAAGTTTTAAATTACAACATAACAATGTGTAAAAAATAAACATTCCAACTTGCTCTCTCCACAGACTTATCACATCAAAGTATAGACCCTGAAAAACAAATAAAACGTAACAAAGAAAAAACAATATTCACATTAATAACATACCTTGGGAGAATTTCTGTCCCACTTCTATTGTAGATCTCCCATTCCAGAATCACTAAACTCCAGTTTGACTCTAGGGAGACTACATAATAGAAAGGCACTTGATGTATGTATTTCCCCAGGTATGTTAATTAAATCAGCTGACTTTCATTATAAAAATGAAATGTTCATCTGCATTTGGTTTTCTTTTCACTTGACTCAGTCCTGCAGACCCAACATCACCAAGGGGGAATGAGATGTGGATTCTCCCTCATCTGGTACCTCCACTGGATTGCTCACTGAGTTCCACTGGGTTTCTCCTGTGTTAACCCACTCAGGACAATAGGCCTGCACAGGTTTCATTGAGGTAAATTTGGGGGCCTTGGCTTGCCCAGGTGTTACTGAGGGCCTGATTTAGCCAACAGAATATATAGATCATGAGGAATAAGGTGAAAAGAACACAAGGTGACTCTTGAAGGTGAGGTGGAGTTTGCAGTGTTAAGGGCTAAGTACTTTTTGTCATCTGAACACTTTTGATATGGAAATCATGAATGAGTTAGAGCTACTGCTCAGAGAAGAGCTACACTGTGAAGCCTCCCAGTATATTTTTAAGATACCATTTCAGTTGTAACATACTCACTTGAGGCCTTTGAGGGTAGATCCACATAGGGACTTTGGACTTCAGTATTCTAAAACTTAACTTTAAATCCCCAAATTCACTGTCCATTCACTGCCTAGCTGTGACTGTCTAAATTTCTAAATGCCTGAGTTTCTACTAAGAAGGCTGCCTACATATCTATGAATTTCTGCAGCTGGATATAAGTGCACAATCACCTAAATCTAGAGAGCTCTGAGCAGCTTGGCACCTGAGCCCTGGAGGGCTTCACAAACCAGGTGTTCCTCTGTCTAGTGCACTTGTGGGCAGCATCCGACTCGCATACTATATAGGGGTGTGCAAAGTGGGCCCTATTTGATTCGGATCTGGCCCAAATCAGGGACGGTAATTTGATTCGTTGATTTGGACCACTGTCCCTGATTCGATTTGGCCAAATCTGAAGATTTGATGCTGATTCAGAGAATCAGTAATTTGGACACAGACACAGCTTTAAATGTTTTTTCTACATACCTCAAGGTACCAGCATGGCTCGTGAATGCTGCAATGCTCGGGCGCATGGAGCTTCCCACAGGAGTGCGGGTGGGGACGTGGCCTCCACGTGCTCGGCAACGAACTGGGAAGTGGACTGGAAGTACTTCTGGTCCATTTCTGGGTCTGCTGCCTCACCCTTGCAATGGAAGGTGCTGAGCAGTTCATATAGGCCCCTCCGCCCTGGGTGGATTGTCTGAACACATCTTGCAGTATCTGGAGGCACTGTTGAGTGGTAATGCTGGGGTTCTAGAGCTTGGCTGTCCTGATTACCCCAAATGACGGTTCTTGCAGCACATCCAGAAGATGATGATGTTTTTCTTTGTCTGGTATTTGCCATGTCATGAGAGTCTCTTGCACATGGGCAACCCAGGATTCAAATCCCTCTTCTCCGGTAGGGACTGGGAGGTTCCCAGAAAAGTTTCTTAGTCTTTTATATGCAGCCCGATCATCAGAGGAGCTGGCCACCTCCCTAAGGACCTGCTGCATAGCCACAACCCATTCCTGGGTGATGCTGGGCAAGGGTGTTGCCCCACTGGTTCCAGGAGGTTTCCTGGCATCATCTCTTCCTGGTGCCTGGGACATGTTTTCTCCTTGCTTGACTCTATAGGGGTATAGAGCACGTCACAAAATTAAGCTCCCGCCAATAAAATCCTGGACGAGCCCCCAAAATGTAGCCTGGGTGTACACGGGTTTGTACTTCCCTTTCCAATTGAGGCAATTATTGGCAGGGTAGTGTGCTGCAGAGGAACACAACAGCCCAGCAGCCGCCTCTGTCCCCTATAGAGTCAGGTCCAGTCAATCAGTTACTTAACTATATGTAGATTTATTATTATAACAAAACCATTAAAAGGGTAAGGACATAGACTATATATATACACATACACTCCAGCTGCAGCCTCACCAAGGCCAAGTACAGCGGGAGGATGACATCCTGAGATTTACTTGAGAAGCATCAAGTAAATCTTCCCTGCAGGCCCGGTCGCCCATGGTACAGCCCCCACAGGAGTCGCAGCCATCGCAGGAGTGGAAGATGGTGCCCAAATCTAGAGCTGCTAGGCAGAGAGCGGTGGAAGCCCCCCAGGTTCAGCTGGGGAACAGATTTGATGCCTTGGCAGCGGCGACGGATGAGGGCAGAGGAGTCGGCCCTGCAGGGGACGATGCCGCTCCACGCAAGACAGAGACTGGGAGGAGAGAGAACACCAGGAGGAAGAAACGCCAGGTCCTAGTCATCGGGGACTCCCTCCTGCGAGGGCTGGAAGGTCCGATCTGCAGGCCCGACCCCATGTCACGGCAGGTCTGCGTCATGCCTGGGGCTCGGGTCAGGGACATCACGGAGAGGATCCCGGGCTGCATCCGGCCTGCAGACCGGTACCCCATGGTTGTCGTCCATGTGGGTACAAACGACGCGGCAAGAGGCAACCCTGACCGTATTATGAGGGACTTCGAGGCTCTGGGGACCAGGCTGAAGGAGACGGGGGCGCAGGTGGTTTTTTCCTCTCTCCTTCCGGTGAGGGGGCGGGGACAGAGGCATGGGACCTGCATTGGTGAGGTCAACCAGCGCTTACGCAGCTGGTGCCGCCGGGCAGGCCTTGGGTTCCTTGACAACGACCCATGCTTTCGGGAGGGGGGATTGCTGGGGCGGGATGGGCTTCATCTCTCCCCTAATGGCAAGCGTATCTTCTCTTCCAGGTTGGCTGATCTCGTACAGTGAGCTTTAAACTAGACTCGCCGGGGGAGGGGGCTGCAGGAAGACGAGGAGACGCCATCAGGGCAAGGGGTGCAAAGGTAAGTAATGGGGGTCTTGCCATCAGGGCAAGGGGTGCAAAGGTAAGTAATGGGGGTCTTGCCATCAGGGCAAGGGGTGCAAAGGTAAGTAATGGGGGTCTTGCCATCAGGGCAAGGGGTGCAAAGGTAAGTAATGGGGGTCTTGCCATCAGGGCAAGGGGTGCAAAGGTAAGTAATGGGGGTCTTGCCATCAGGGCAAGGGGTGCAAAGGTAAGTAATGGGGGTCTTGCCATCAGGGCAAGGGGTGCAAAGGTAAGTAATGGGGGTCTTGCCATCAGGGCAAGGGGTGCAAAGGTAAGTAATGGGGGTCTTGCCATCAGGGCAAGGGGTGCAAAGGTAAGTAATGGGGGTCTTGCCATCAGGGCAAGGGGTGCAAAGGTAAGTAATGGGGGTCTTGCCATCAGGGCAAGGGGTGCAAAGGTAAGTAATGGGGGTCTTGCCATCAGGGCAAGGGGTGCAAAGGTAAGTAATGGGGGTCTTGCCATCAGGGCAAGGGGTGCAAAGGTAAGTAAGACCACCTGGGCAATAGTGATCATCGCGTGCTGGAATTCACCATCCAGCGTAGAGTGTCAAGGGCCCGCAGCAAGGTGGTGGCCCTAGACTTCAGGAGGGCCAACTTCAGTGAGATGAGGAGATTAGTGGGAGAGGAACTGGGGTCCTTGAGGGCAGAGGAACTCAGCGTCCAAGAGGAGTGGTCGTTCCTTAAGGAAACGATACTCGGGGCCCAAGGGGTGTCCATCCCGACAAGAAGCAAGGCGGGCAGGAGTGTCCAAAAGCCCCCCTGGCTCACCAAGGGTGTCCGGGAATGCCTGCTTGCCAAAAGGGTGGCGTACGCCCGGTGGAAGGGGGGTGTAATCTCCAAAGAGGAGTATACCTCCTCTGCTCGGGCCTGCAGGCGGGCTGTTAGGAAGGCCAAGGCGGAGATAGAGCTCGGATTAGCGTCCAGGATTAAGGATAACAAAAAGTCCTTTTTCAAATATATTGGGAGGATGAAGAAGGCGCCGGGTAATGTGGGGCCCCTGCAGGATATGCGGGGCAATCTGGTGGTTGCGTCAGAGGATAAAGCGGACCTCTTTAACCAATTCTTCACCTCCGTTTTCTTGTGCAGGGACCGGGACTTCCCTGCTGTGATAGAAGCCGGACGCGAGGGGATCGCCTTCAGACCTCAGGTTGGGGAGGACCGGGTTAGAGAGCTTCTGGAGGGGCTGGACGCGTTCAAGTCAGCGGGTCCGGATGCTCTCCACCCCAGGGTGCTGAGGGAGCTGGCTGGGGTTATTGCAGGGCCCCTGGCACGGCTCTACGAGCGATCGTGGTGCTTGGGCCAGGTGCCAGACGATTGGAAGGTAGCTAATGTGGTCCCCATCTTCAAAAAAGGGAAAAGGGAGGACCCGGGCAATTATAGGCCCGTCAGTCTTACCTCAATCCTGGGGAAGCTCTTTGAGAAGATCATCAAGGAGCACATTTGTGATGGGCCGGCATCCGAGATGATGCTCAGGGGCAATCAGCATGGATTTATTAGGGGGAGATCATGTCAGACCAACCTGATTGCCTTTTATGATCAGGTCACAAAGGCCATGGACGCAGGTGTCGCGGTGGATGTAGTCTTTCTGGACTTCAGCAAGGCCTTTGACACCGTCTCTCACCCCATCCTAATTAATAAACTAGGCGACTGTGGCATAGATGCCTACACGGTCAGATGGATTGCAGATTGGCTGAAGGGTCGCACTCAGAGGGTGGTGGTGGATGGATCATACTCGACTTGGGGGGAGGTGGGTAGTGGAGTCCCCCAGGGCTCGGTCCTGGGGCCTGCGCTGTTCAATTTCTTCATCAGCGATCTTGATGTTGGGGTGGAAAGCAACCTGTTTAAATTCGCTGATGACACCAAAATTTGGGGGGAGGTGAGCACGCTAGCAGGGAGAGAGAGATTGCAGAAGGATCTGGATAGGTTACAGGGGTGGGCAAACAGGAACAGGATGTGTTTCAATACGGACAAGTGCAGGGTGCTGCACTTGGGTAGTAGGAACCAGCAGCACACTTATACGATGGGGAACTCCCTACTTGAGAGCACGGAGGCGGAAAGGGATCTTGGTGTCATTATTGACTCCAAGATGAACATGGGCCGACAATGCGAGGTCATGGTTGGCAGGGCTAAC